AGACAGACAGACAGACAGACAGACAGATAGATAGATAGATAGATAGATAGATAAATAGATAGATAGAAAGATAGATAGATAGATAGATAGACAGACAGACAGACAGACAGACAGATAGATGATAGATAGATAGATAGATAGATAGATAGATAGATAGATAGATAGATAGATAGATACTATAGATAGATAGATAGATAGATAGATACTATAGATAGATAGATAGATAGATAGATAGATAGATAGATAGATAGATACTGTAGATAGACAGACAGACAGACGGACAGACAAATGAAATTATGTTGCAGCCTGTATCTCCCTTTCATACGAACAAGATAAAAACCCACCACATAAAAAACGGAGTATTAAAAAACAACAATAAATACATAAAATCATTCAACCTTTATTTAGACAGGTAATCCCATTGAGCCTCGAGGACTCATTTACAAGAGAGACCTGATTTCAACAAAGATGACAACAATGGACAACAGCAACAACAATAAGCAGTTATAAAAAGTCATACTGCAGGTTTTTTTTTTTTTTTTTTTTTTACAAATAGGAATAAATAAAAACAACACTAATAGAAGAGATCAAACAACAACCGTGTTAGGGGACATAACCAGCTAGCTTCTCTTGTTCCTGCCAGGAGTGGCTGAATTATACAGCCTGACCCAAAGGACCAACGAGTTCTTTAGTCTCTCAGTAGAACACCTCAACGAATGGATTCTGGTGCTCACTGAACTTCGCTGATGAGAGAAGACCGAGTTCAAGGGAAGGCCCTGATTGGACATGATCGCCCTGATCTCGGAGCGATCTTGACAAAGAAAATGTTCACTCCAAAGTGACCAAATGGCAACGCAAAGAGACTATCCAAACATACTTTTTAATGAAATCAATGACTTGCAAAATATTTTCTGTTATTCACTATAACTTTAACTGAGGCGATTCATTACCAGCAAAATTAGGACACCCAAGTTTTAAATGTTTAGCCTTTATTGCTAAGTACATTGGCAATAAAATGCTAACATTCTACAACAAATAAACGTGTCATGATGGTTTTCTGTAGAGTGCAAATACATGCTGAGATTCCATCTGTGCATTACTTTATCTTTCACTTTCTTCTGTTCAGTCTGTGCCAACAATTCAGCCCTTTTTTTTCTGTAAGGCAAAATGGCAATTAAGACAAATTAAACTGAACAGACGAAAACTGAAACTGTCACACAGTTCTTTTGTTTTTTCTCTATTTCATTATTCTCTTTGAATTGTCCGTACACTGAAGTTTGGCTGAAGGAAATATTTTCATGTTTTACAGACGAATGCTCCGCGCTGCCTGCCTATCTTAGTTTGAGTTTGTAGTGTCGTGCTGTAATCTTGTCAGTATAATACAAGAGTTTAAGACGGGATCAGGCTGTCACCACTGGCAGCACAATCCCCTTACCTGAGGCTGCGAGAGCTTGCACAAATCTAGATTTCTCAGCTCTAACATAAGCTATTGGAAAGCCCCACTTTTCTAACATGCCCAGTCAAACCGTTTAGGTTTAACCACTAATACCCTCGCTGTACAGCAGCACACCTTGCTGGCACACACGTGCAGTGTAAGAGAAGCCACGGTGAAAATCCATTAACATTAATGATTTTTCCGTCTTTTTTCTTGTGGAGCTGTTTGTGCCTCGCCGAGGCTGATCTGATTCCTGAACAGGTAGAGCATACGAACAACAGCAACAAACAATGCTGAGAACGAGTTTTCTTTTTTTTATCTGTGCACAGGAGATCCGAGAGATGGTGGCACCTGTTCTCAAGAGTTTCCAGGCTCAGGTGAGTCCCTGTATTTTACAGATTTCAGACTCGGTGAGTAAAACTGGAACCCACTAAGCGTTTTATTGACGGTTCCTTTCACTCCCGTTCCACAAAATGACTTCAAGGAGACACTGCTGTTGGATACTGTATGAACATTGACCAGAACAGACTGCTGTGCTCCTTGAATTAATAATTTGATAGATGGAAGAAGAAATCTATGGCATACTTTTCATGTTACTGCTCATCTGGTGCTTATTGACTGATGCCTTTTCTGTCAAAGTGAAGTAGCATCTTTCTGCCATTAGATGATCAGATATCTGGCTTCTCATATTTTCTTGGCTGAGACAAGCCCTCATTTCCTGTTGTGATAGTGCATTCACCGTGCCCCCTCTGACGTCGTCATATTGAAAAAGTCATCTGATACCTTCAAAGACTCTGCTCCAGCCATTAAGCCAAGGTCATAAATCACATTTGTGAGCTGCGTTATGGTCCGCAAAGCAGAGGCTTATGGAAATGATACCACAAATATGTTTTCAGTCTCGTTCTCCCCTTTAAACTCCCGCTCGGCACGAACCTGAAAGCCCTATCATCTGTAAACACGAGAACACTCAGCATGGATTGTTCAGATCGCTTGGAAGTGATTATTGGCAGCTCCTTTTTAAAGCTTTCTAATTGACTATGCCCAAGCAGCTGTGCTCGTGAGCAGGAGCTAACAGTGCCATGCTCCACCACTGTGCTCCGTGGATGGTTTCTCACTTAATTCAATTAAACTTGCAGAAATATCAGAAGCACCAGTCCATATCTTTATTGTGCAAACAGGAGCCCAAAGGATTAATTTAAGCACCATTGATGTCTGACAACTGGGAGTCTAAAGATGCCTTATAGTAGATAAAATAGATGGCTGATAATGAGCCATGGTTTTTTCTTTCTTAGCTGAAGGCCTCTCTGGGAACCTCTTGGTCTCTCTTGTGTAACTTCCACAAGTTTGTGTTCTCACTGACAAGTATGACAGCTTGCTCAGGAAGCAAACTTACGAATTACAAAACCAAAATAAATCTGAAGAACTTTTAAATGTTTCCTGTTGAACTACCGCACGCATCAACTATAAAATTACATTTGCTTTTATAAATATCCAAGCCATGACAACATCTCAACATTTTGCTATACGTTGCCTTGAAAAAGTATCCACACTGCTTGAACTTTCCATATTTTGTCTTGTAACAACTATAAACTCTAAAAAGTTGAATTTTGGTCTTATTTAACCTGTTTCGTTTCCTCGTGTTGGCTGTGTTCTGTACGGTTTGTGCAGGATGAACTCAGAATGCACACTGACACAAGGAGCTTGGAGAACTAACTAAAATCTTTATTATAAAAAAATATGACAAGCAGCAAACTTACTTATTCAAGTTGCAAACACTATGAACATGAAGACCACATGTATCACAAGGAGAACCAGAGAGCTAATAATGTAGTGGACTAGGCCCATGTCAAAAACTAAGTCTAAGGTCAAAAATCTTGACCTCAAGAACCTTGTGGGACAGGAACTGTCATTTCATTGATTTGAATCCAGAAATACAGGTTCACCCATCCTGAGACTTTCTCTCTTGAAGATTCAAGTGAAAAGAACACTCTCTGTTTTATTATCATTACTATTTTACAAATGTTGATAATCAAAGTGTCTTAGTTCAAACCATTTTAGATGTTGCAGTGAACTAATCAATTTTATTAACTGTGTAATGATTTTTTCTCACGCAAAGTTAGAACTCATGTCAAAGCTGTTACAGAGTAATTATGCCTTTTCTGATTTCTGCTTTTGAATGAGCAAGTGTAAGTTGGTCCAAGGTTGGAGTCAAACGCAAAACAAGTTGTTAGAACGAACTGTCATGTTTTTAGAATCCTCTCAGACGTAAATATAGAGGTTTTTGGCACCTGTTTCTGAAACGCGCCAAAACAAAACTCTCTCTGTCTGTGAGAACATTTCTGATCTTTCCATAACAATTCTTGCTGCATTCTAACCTCTTACGTCACAAAACACACCCCGTCTGGTCGGTTCTGGCCAATGGGAATACTCCCAGATGGACCGGAAAACAGCTCTTTAAAATGTCAGTACTTCCTGGTCTAGTCGGCTCTGCTCGAGTTCTGTAAACTACTCGGTTCTGTTAGAAGTTCTGGGATGGTGCTGGAACAGTTCTGGGACAGTTCTGTTCAGTTCTGATGGAGTGCTGTTGGAGTTCTGCTGGATACACAGTCCAACCAGTTCTGTGAGAGAAGCCCAGTTCTGTGAGAGACGGGATGATCCTGACATGACAACAGAGCTCTTCCGAGTTCCATGGGATTATAACATTTTCACTCGCCACTACTTCTGACGATTCACAGCATCCTAAGGAGACGCTGGACAGGTAGCGTTAACGGAGCTCCATATCTGCTGAGATAACCTCAGAAAGGTAATGAGTCAAGTTTCCTACCAAGCGTACCGGGGAGAGCTGGGTTCTGACGGAGAGTGTCAATTCTGGTGAACACTTCCCTCCCATACCATCTTTACTCCCTCTAAACTTCTTTCCCATCTTTAAACTTTCTATCAAGTAGATATTCTTCCAGATATTTAGAAATGTCTGTGTAAAATGCTCATCCACATCCGTGTGGGTAAAAGATCATAATTGTACAGTTTCATAAATGTCTGTGGTGAAGCAACGGAAAAATCATGGCCGTATGATTTTTCCTGATTGATTGCTTATGTTGTTATTTTCATAATTTGCCAAATTAATGTAAATGTTTGATGTTAAATTTTGATTCTGTAAATAAATGACCGCATTCATTTTGATGGGTCAAATATAAATGACGTCTCACGTTTGCATTTCCTTAAATTCAATGCACGTTTTATTCAGTCCAGAAAAATGAGGAATCCGTGTTAAATGATGAATATATCCGAGCATCTGTTCATCTACAATAATGCACTGCTGGTGAGGAGACAAATACTGAATATGCAGTATAAGATGGAGGTAAGAGGCCAGTGGAGGCACCTGACTGAGATCATTTCACCTTCATGGCTTCTGTCAAACTGCAAGCAGGACTTCTTATAGTTTTCTTTCAATAATGACTTTCTTCCCCCTGAAAGGTTACTGAAACCCCCCACCCCCCAATACAGTAAAACTGCACTTTTCAGCTTGGGCTTTTATTGTGGTCAGTCTAAGACACACCTGTGCAATAATCATGTTGTTTCATCAGCATCTGGAAAGCCACACCTGTGAGGTGGACGGATGATCTCAGCAAAGGAGAAGAGATCACTAACACAGATTTATACACATTTGTGATCATCGTTTGAGAGAAAAAGGCCTTTGTTTATATAGAAAAAGTTTTAGGTCTTTGAGTTCAGCTTATGTAAAATGGGAGCAAAAACAAAAGTCTAGTGTTTATATTTTTATTCAGTATATATATATATGTATGTATATGTATATATATATATATATATATATATATATATATATACATACTGTATATACA